GGTCTACAGACATTTGTCTGCTAAATTCAAATATTTTTTCAGTATCAAAATCAGACGGCGTTAATTAACTTTAATTTTGTCAAAACAAATGTATGTTTTTGTAAAATTGGTATATCTAAATTGATATGGTTATCGAGTTATTGACATGTGTAAGCGCATGTATACCACAATACCCGCATTTAATTTCACTCACACTAATAATCATTTACAACAAACGCATAGATCCCGGGTGGCTATTACAAAATTAGAAATTGCCTAAATATTGCCCCTTAAATAATGATTGTAGCGAGGCCCCTTAAGCATATTATAGCATAGGTATTGTACAATATCCCTATGAAGAATATGTGAAACACCGTTACACCAGTGATTTAACTTTTAATTTTAAATACAAAATCCTACATTTGTTTTAAGTTACATCAAACATATTAATTGTACCTATTACATAATCAAGAATCTAGATTTCAGATTTTAAAGTACTTATGTGTTCATTATTCCACACATCATAATTATATTTAAAATTTAAAAATAAGACACTGATGTAGTACTGTGGTTTAAGAGATAAACTCGTCAACTATAAAATGTTCATAGAGTTAGTATAATTTAAATTTGTTTTTACGATATTGGCAAATAAAATAGGTACCTACTATAAAATTCATAGTTCTACAGTATAGTAAATTATAATAACTCATTAGGGAAAATAAAAATCAATATTTTTTTTAAACCATGGGTGGAATAAAAAAACAGCAACGAACTGGTTACGCAACCTTAGTTTTTAAATTAACATATTGTCCAAAGCGTGAAATAAAAACTACAATGTGGTTTCTGCGACTCAGGAAACTGCAAAGTGTTTGAAACGACAACTATGTGACTTGGAGGACATGATAGTTTGTAAGACAGCAGAAGCAAACAAGTTGCGTTGCGTCTTGACCGACAAAGAGGCGGCGTTGTGTTTTGAGAACGAACGGCTAATTGAGACGCAGCAGCAGAATTGTACCAGCAATCGAAACGTCAAGGCACTGACGGCTGAGTGCCAGGACAGGGAAGTGGAACTGGTGGCGTTGAGAAAAGCGGCCCCGGAGCGACTGGCTCGGGCAGAAAAGTGCTCGGATGTTGTTTGCCAGGATCTGGCCACCGTGAGTGCTAAAGCGGCCAATTGGAAGAACAAAGTCGAACAATCTATCAAGATGCTCGATGAACTTAAAGTGTCCAGTGAAGCGGAAATGTGTTGTGCACGGTCCGTTCTAGGAGAAACCATTAGAAATCGTGACCTATTGATCGAGCAGCAGTGTAACACATCATGCCAACTTGAAGAAACAATAGCCAACAACCGTCGGTTGGTGGCAGATGTTAAAACTGTGGTCGACCGGAAAGCCGGACTAGTGGCCGAAGTTGAACGGCTAGAACAGAAACTTGGCTGTGACCGACTCGCGCTTGTGGTACAGCGGACAAAGTGCGATGCCGATGCTGTCTTGCACGAGGACGATATGACAGTTAAGTGGCACACACTCGCGTCGGTCGAGAATGAGGTGGTGGCGCTGAGGCAGGCATGCCAGGACCGTGATTCAGCGATCAGTGATGTCAAGCGAAAACTCGATGCCAATTGTTCGATCGGGTGATAGTTAGCTTAGGTACACGATGTGAACGACCCACAGTTAAGCAAAAATGATTTCAGAAAGTCATCCACCACTCAAAAACATTTATTTATCCAGGTAACCTAATGTCCCCAGGAGCCAGCTCAGACAGCCAGAGTTTCACTACACTGTTCCTCTTTGATGGTATTATAGACGTAGGCAGCACAATTTTATTAATAAAATAAAACAAATTAAAACTAATTGTTATTAAATTTAACTAATTACCTTACTGTTACCTCTATAATCTATATATATTATATCTATATATCACAATAAAAACCCTTCGTAAACTACGTGTAAAAATGGCTAAGTAAAAAAAATATAAAATATTTAAGCACTATAAAGATGTGATATCATGAGTAAATGCTAAGTATATTGAAATTAATTTCTATTTCTATTTCTATTTCTACTTATTTATTTACTTCGTGAGGAATCATTTCTTAAGAGAAACAAAGTGTGATGAACAAAATAATTAAATGACGAAGGAGTGAAGGACTATTAAAATATAACTTATTATTATTTTAAAATTAATATTATTATTAATATTTATTAATATACTATTCTAAATAATTCTTTGCCAAGTAAATGAATTATTGAAACAAAATAAGTTTACTTAAATTCAATATAACTAGCATTTATTCATGGTATCACATCTTTATAATGCTTAAAGATCTTATATTTTTTTTACTTAGCCATTTTTACACATAGTTTACGAAGGGTTTTTGTTGTAATATCAAACATTTTTATCATTATTAAATATTGAGTATTTACAAAATTATATAAGAACTGCAATATTGTTGGTAACATTGGCAACGCTGATGTGACGACGACGACGGCCACAGTGATTCTGAATTTAATATAAATTTCCATTAAAAAGTTCACACTTTTTCATTTATAACTTAATTTTTCATCGTACTATTCTGATGATTTTACAAAAGCACGTTCTACACAATATTTCTGATGTTTTGGAAAACTAGGAGTTAATTGATGCATTAGAAAATTAGTTATGTCGTATAACAAATTTACCTGTATTTTACACAGTTTAAATAGACCACTTCTGCTTCGAACCTATACTATACACTGTCCTGCAGTATTATTTTTTTTTTACTTAGCTCACGCCACAACCGTGGCACTGGATAAAAGGACTAACTGTCGGGTAGCGTTGTCGGGTGAAGATTTGTATTACTTTTTAAAATGTATATGCAATATTTATAAGGCGGATTGAATGATTTTTGTGACATCGCATATTCGGTGATTTATTGTATGTGTAAAATGAGTGTAAAATATGTAAAATTAAAGTGTAAAATTAAAAACCTGGTCTGGCTAGACAGCTAGTCACCTAAATTGAAAATCGATTTAAGTGCAAGTTTATCATTTAAGTAGTCAATCCATGGACAATTTACAAGAAGTATATCAGGTAGGCAATTCCGTTCCGGTGAATACTACGACGATGAGTAACAGTAAGTTAAACCTATGTAGGAAATATATGCCAACTGTAAAATCTGTATACATTACACAATCGGTTACGACCTATATAGTTATCTACTCTTATTCGAAAGTCTCGATGATTTTATATCGTGCCAAATAAAGCATAAGCCAAGGAATGAAATAAGAAATATCTTATCTAACTGCCTAAGGCATCTTTACTTAAACGACCATAAGTCTTTATAAATATAATACATTGTGGGTGAATACATTATAATAACAGTAATACATAAGTAGTATTATACAATAATAATTACTTATATATACATATATTATATATTATACAAGAACATGTTTGGGGTAGTACCTCCACTGAGATGGCCACTTTTCTTAGCCTAAGTTAATTAAACTAAGTCATATGGCTTCAGACGTTTGAGGCGCCTAATGTCTTGCGAATTGTGAAGAAGTTGTTTAGCAGTTGCATTTGGGTGCAACTCAAGTTTTTTCGCATGTTTATGGGCAATCTTTTTAATTTCGTCCTCGATGGATAGTATATTCAAGTCTCGATGGATGATTTCATTCCTGTCGAACCGGTATGATGCGACAATGGTACGAAGGGAAATATTCTGACAGCGTTGAATGACTTCGATGTTGGATTTGCTGGCACAGCCCCACAGTTGTATGCCATAAGTCTAGATCGGTTTGATAATAGCTACATATAGAAGCCGTTTGTTTGCCAGGTCTAGTGTGGAATGTCTACCAACTAGCCAGTACAGCTTGCGCATTTTTTTCTTTTATTTGCAATTTCTTCTGGCGGGCATGATGTTTCCAATTAAGGCGAGAATCAAGGTGCATACCCAAGTATTTGGCTGAATCTTTTTGTGGGATTGTCATGTGATCCAGCGACACTTGGAGATTTTCGGTTTTACGTAGAGTATAATTCACATGTACTGACTTATCACTATTGATCTTGATTTTCCATCGCTTTGTCCAGTTAGATATACGATCGATTGAGGTTTGTACGTTTTCAGTAGCAGTCTCTTGATCAATACTTGTTGCTAAAATTGCTGTATCGTCAGCAAACATAGCGGTCATTGAGTCATTATTGGTTGGGATGTCAGCTGTATATAGCAGATAAAGAGTAGGTCCTAGTAAACTACCTACTCCGGCAGATATGTTTTTCCAGTTTGTTATTGCTTCTGCATGCATAACTCGAAACTGTCTTTCAGTCAGATAAGATTCTAAAAGTGCGCACCAGGTGTGTGGTAGTTGTTCTCGTAGTTTTATTAGTAGTCCTTTATGCCAAACCTTATCAAAGGCTTGGGCTACGTCTAGAAATACTCCGCAGCAATATTTTTTCTCTTCCAACGCCTTGCTTATTACGTTTGTGACACGATGAGCTTGATCAATAGTAGAATGTTTGTTCCGAAACCCATACTGATGATCTGGTATGAGGTGTCTTTCTTCTATAAGTGGTTTTAAACGTTTAAGAAGAAGCTTTTCAAAGAGTTTCGACATACTTGGGAGAAGTGATATTGGTATGTATGAGGTAGCTCGTTCTGGTGGCTTGCCGGGTTTCAGTAGCATAATCACTTGTGCCTTTTTCCATTGCTTAGGAAAATATTCCAGTCGTAGGATTACATTGTATATATGTGTTAAAAGGATTATCGCTTTCTTCGGTAGCCTAATTCAGAACTTCAGAAGGTATATTTTTCCTTAAATAAGCTCAGTAGTCAGTATAATATTTTACCAAAAAAATATTATGTATTTAATATCTATCCACAATTATTTAGAGTCATATAATGATATTATAATACATAAATTAAAACAAACTTCATTATTTAATTTTTAATGAATAGCTGACATTACATGCAATTATTTTAGAATAAGGAATATAATATAATGGATAATTGATAGAATAACCACTTTGAAAATATTATAAATTTACATGTTTTTACTTAAAAAAATTAAGGTATCCAAATTGTCTGGTAATAATCTGTTGCGTCGTGCACATAAAATCTGACCAGCCTTTGAAAAAAATCGTTCAGATGGTACTGATGTTGCTGGAATAATTGCATATTTTTCAGCAATGTTACTAAGTGGATATAACACAGACTTGTGTTGATTCCAGTATGTAAAAATATTTGATTTTAAGTCTTGATGGGGAATATTTAAGTATTGCCTCATCAAGGCAGTAGCACTGCTTGTTACCGTACTTTGGGATTGTATACTAGTAACCTTAGATTGTAGGAATTCCCAAACATTATTCACTTGTTCTTGAATTGCTTCATTAACAACTGCTTGTTCTGAACAAAAAAAAAAATATTTTATAGAGAGACCTTAAATCCAAAAATGTAGTATATTCAACACTACTTTTACATTTGTCAGATAGTTATTTTTCAATACAAGGAAAGTGTATTTAGTATTTACCATTAACAGCATTTGGTGTATCTAATAGATCAGCTATTTCTGAAATTACAAACTTTTCAGCCTCATTAGCATTTTCATCTATTCCAAGTGCAATTTTTTTGAACCTTGGATCTAACAGGGTAGCTCTTGAAAAACTCAGTGTTATTGTTTGTTTTTCAAAATCATCAAAACGTTTTGTTATATTGCCAATTAAATTTGTTTTTAAAGCTTGTCCAATTAGCGTTCTTGGCATTTTTGTAACCAACGAACCTTGTAAACCTATAAATAATTATTTACTTTTAAGTTATGTACTTATAATATATGGTGCACTGTATTGAAATAATTACCGCTTATCAATGGTATCACTTTGGAAATTGCTGAGTATTGCTCTGCAGAAAGCTCTACCTTTAAACAATTAAAGGGTCCCAACAAAGGTATTATGTTATCAACTATATTCCATTCATCGTGGTCAAGGAAAATTGGAGCTTCTGTTAAGGAAATTATTGCAATTGTTAGAGGTTCTTTCAGTTGTACAAGTCTCTCCAACATAAATAAAGTACTGTTCCAACATGTACGTACGTACTTTTAATACTTTATTTATACCCAGCTGTTTCTGTTTTTCTACTAATATCCTATTACCAACTTCACTTCGTTTGAAGAAAGCTACAATGTTGCGACATTTCTTCAAAATATTTTTTAATCCTCCTGTTTCATCTCTATCAGCTTCATCCACCTCTGACATTTCTAGTGACTGCTGCACAATTAAATTTAACTTGTGAGCTGTACATGGAATCTGAGGAATGTCCATTAACCTTACGGCTAATTTGATATTCGCAGCATCGTCCGTTACAATTGCAACTACTTTATTTAAAATATTCCACTCCATCAGTTCTTCAGTCATTACTTGGGAAAGATAAGCACCTGTATGATTAGATTCCAACTTTTTGGTACACAGAACAACAGTACTTAGCTCTCTTAAATTTGTGTCAACAAAGTCGGTATTCATAGAAGTCCAAATATCTGTCGTAATTGCAATATGACTTGCTGCATTTAATAAAATTTGCACATTTCCTTTTACCTTCTCCATTATTTGATGTATAATTGTCCTACCGAGGGTTTTTCTGCTGGGTATTTCATATCTAAAATAAGTTATAATATGCATATAGTTAAATATTTTCATAATAAACAACTGTTAAAGCATAAGAAGTTATTTGATTTTAGATGTAGTATTATTATAATATATTTTATAATGTGTAAAATCTATAATCATCACCTAGAATCTAAGAGCTTTATCATACGACGAAATCCTGAGTTTTCTACAATCGACAATGGTTGTAGATCCTCTGCAATCATCCGAACAATCGCTTCATGAAATTCATTGATTTGATGTTCTGACACAGTTCCAAATCTAAAAACATATTTGAAATGTTTAATTTGAGGATTAAGACTATAAATTTAAATAATTAAGTAAATATTAAAATGTAGTATCATACTATTGATACTGTTATCCTTTTAACTTCCTGATTAAAAGTTTCCTTCTAGAGGCATCACTAAAAGTTACAACATGTCCAAACCAGTTGGATAACAAATTTATCTAAAAATTAAAAAATAATGAATCAAATAACTTTTTCTAAATACAAGCCTTGAAAATACTCAATAAAATACTAAAAAGAAAAGTAAAACTGTTTTTAATAGACAATTTTCAAGACTTATAGATTAATAAAATAATAATTAAAAACATATTAAAATATATGATACTTATAACTAATATCCTTTTAATTAAAAGTTTCCTTCCAGAGGCATAACTTAAAATGTTTCCAAACCAGTTGGATAATGATTAAATCTGAAAATTAAAATTAAAATTAAAAAGAATCAAATATTTTTCAATACACCAATTAAATGTGTATTATATTAAGAATTAAGATGTGTTGATTTATGCAAATAATTATCAATAAGCAAACAATAAAAAAAAATACCTATTGGACAAGACCATTTGTTTTTGTCTTGTCACAATAGGCCCAGTGGTTACTATCTCTGCCCTAGGAATCACAGCACTTGTATTTACTTCCTATGTTCCTATTCAAAATTCAGTTTATAACTTGTTTATTAAAATATTTTTTATACAAAAACTATCATCTATTTTATTATCTGATAAAATTCAATGAACTTTTAGTTACCTGGTGTATTTTCATCTTCTTCACGTTCTTCATGTACACGCATGCGATCCCGGTTTAAAACGGTAAAATGTTTTCTATTTAAATGGTCTAATAAATTTGAAGTACTATTAGATCGTTTGTAGGAGGTTTTGCACAATGTGCAAACCGCTACATTCGGCTTATTGACGTCTTTATTAAAGTATTTCCAAACGATGGATGCATTTTTTTTTGGAAACGGCATTTTTAATGATCACTAATCGCACGACTATAAACGTGGTTTATGAAAGAGTGAGTACTCAGTAAAGCGCATGAATTTGAAATTTGAGAAACGAGTAAACGACACTACAATTTGACAAATATTAATAAAATAATTAATAGTTAATACCAGATAACAATAAGTGTGATAAGCGCGTACTAAGACGTTGTGAATTGTGATCCTATCACGATTAAAGATATACAGGTTGCACATCGCCCTATAGTAAACCGCTTCCAGACTGATTTACAAAGTGACTATAAAAACAGCTGTTAATAATTAACTAGTGGCGCTTAATGTCAACACTCAACCATATGTGTCGACATTTAGAACTAATTTTACACCTATATATCTATAATTGGTTAATTGTAATACTGCCGCTTGGAGCGCCACTGGTTAATTATTGGTAGTCATTTCGTATTTCACCTTATCAGTAGTCGATGTGCAACCTGTATATCTTTAATCGTGGATCCTATAGAACTATAGATTTTTTATTTGAATGAAAATGTCGATAGTTTTTATTCGAATGAAAATGTCGATAGTTTTCAATCGAATGAAAACTATTCGGTAGTATTGTAAAACAATCGATTAACTAGATAGTTACAAACAATCGAATATGTCGATAGTTTTCATTCGATAGTGTCCAACACAACAAAATAGGTGTTATCATACATTTGCTGCCCTAGACAGCTGCTGCCTACGATGCCCAATGGGAAATCCACCTCTGAATATAATATATCGTATTATATTTCACATTACGTAAAGGTACCTAATATTGTGTATTATTGATTGATTTTCCTCAATAGATATTGGATCATTCTAATACTTCAAAGTAAAATAATGACGAAAACAATGATTGGTCTGATAGCAGGTAATTTGTAATTGTTCTATTATAATTATCTATTTTTAATTTTCTATTATTATTTAGAAGAAATACAAACGATTCAAACATGGCACATATGTACCTAATATATAAATAACTAGCTTTCCTGCCCTACGTTGTCCAGGCCAAAGATTTGTATTTTTAATAAATATATTTGTACAAAACGTTTATATCATATTTCTTCTAATTATAATGTTAATATAATATATAACGAATTGCAACAATTTAGATTAACAAAAAAAAATCGTATTCTAAAAAAATCATATGTGAGCTATGTTTTACCTATATAGCCGCATTGGCGCACATACGGGGTGCCAAGTCTTAAATTAGAACCCCCAACTGGCCCAACTTATATTGAGCTAAAAATATTATTTAAATTTATATTATTTATTTCATTTCGTGCTGTGAGTTGTTACGTTTTGTTCGCTAAATAAATAAATATATTATTATTATATTATAAATATAATTTGAGTTCATAAGAAATAAGAATGAGTTTCCAGGTTGTATTGTCACCTATGCACTAATTCCATGGACGTACTTACATACCTACTTTATATTCATATATCAGTATTAGGTAATTAGGTTTGTGATGTTAGTACGTATGTTACCTATTAATAACGCATATTATCTTATCGACTGTTATAGCTCAAGTTTATTTTTAGTATTTATTTATTACTACAATACTGAATAGGATTTTGTTTTTGGCCGATACCGGTGTTATGGTTTATTGTTATGAAAATAATGATATTAATAAATATTATTTAGTTTGATAACACGGACATTTTCAACCGTCGTCGGTCTATTCTTAGTACTAGTATTGTGTTATGAATCAAAGATAGTTAATTTCATTAGTTATTTAATCGTGTTCTCGTGTCAGTGACGAATGATAATAGACAATAGTTCTAGCTGCTATTGACCAATTTTATTTTATTACTCTTTCCATTTTTCTACATAATATCTACCAACAATTTACTACTGCGGTGTATAGTAGTTTATGTGATTTATATTTAATTTTTGTACGTACATAATATTACTTGTTTAAATATGTTCAGTATATTTAAAAGTAATAAAACAAATATAAAAAAAAATGATGAAAGTAGTGAAAATGTGGACGACCCTGATTGTATTCCTTCTTCATCGAAGAATGTAATAGTGGTAAGTACAAATGTATGATATACCTATGTAAAACAATAATAATATGTAATTTAGTATTCATGCAAAATGTTCAATTTTAAAATAACATTTGAAACTTTAACTAGTGCTAATGTGCAATTTATAGTTTTATTATCTTTAAATGTTGTTTATTTAATTTATTGAACATACAATATTTGCATACACTGATGAAACAGCTTTGAAATTGCCAGTTATTGAGGCGGATGGCTTGAGTGATTTGGAAATGGGACCTAAGCATCATAAGCTATCGGTTTGTCAATATTTTAATTTATTATTTTTTTTTTACAATATGGTTTTTTGTTTTTACTATTATATGTTAAGTAGCTATATCCCAGAACACAATTCGGTCAACAAAAAAGGGCTTTTAGTAGTGAATACTTCAAGGAATATCAGTGGTTAGAGTACAGTGTAAAAAATGATGCTGCATTCTGTTTTCCTTGTAGAATGTTTGTTGGAGCAGGTTTAAATGAAGATACTTGGACCAAAAATGGATTCAACAACTGGCAAAAAGCAGAGTAAATATTTTTATACTGGTATAGCATTAATATTTATCATTGTGTTAGGTATTGAACAAATAAATAATAATTAAATAAGAGTACAAGTTAAATTTAAATATGATGGATTAATAGTGTAAATGGGTGATTATTATTATTTTATTTTAACCAAAGTTATAATTGTTATGCAGCTGAGTGAACGATTAAAAAACCACAATATTGCTCTTAGCCATATTACATGTGTTTCAAAACTGTCATCATTTTATTCAAGTAAAACAAAAGGAACTGTTGTAGCTCACGTGTCGTCTGCACACAGAGAACAAATAAGAAAAAATCGTCAGTACATTTCACATCTAATCGACATAGTGTTGTTTTTAGGAAAGCAAGGTGTTGCTTTTAGAGGGCATTATGAGAATGATGAATCAATTAACCAAGGTACCTATATTCTAATAAATATTATTAAAGTTAAAATTATCAGTATTTTGTGTTTAAGGAAATTTTAAAGAGTTGTGCAAATTGTATGCTAAATCTGTACCAGATTTTGAAAATATGTATTTTAAAGATACAATTATATAGTGGGAGAATTCAAAATGAAATTATTGATATTTGTGATATTTATTGGATTTGTCGTTACAAGAACTGTGAAGCAATTATTAATAATAATATAGCAATTATTGCTACTCTCCAAAAAGAAGTTGAAGATCAATATGACAAAGATGTAGCGCAAGCAATAGGTATTGTATAGGAGTTTTAAATTTTATTCATGACAAATTAACAATTTATTAAATTACACTTATTAAACTAATATAATTACTGTCATATTATATATTATGAAATAAATAAATAAAACATTATCCATAGGTATTTTAAATTCAATACAAAACAGTGATTTTGTTGTAGTTGTATTTATACTTTATGAAGTTTTATCAATCATAAATGTGTTAAGTCAGCAGATTCAAAGCAAATCGGCTACTTTGAGTAAATCTGTAAATGTCATAAAAAGTGTTGTATTGTCGTTTAACGATTTACGTTCCAATTATGCATTCTCTTTATTCTGGATTAAAGTAAAAGATTTTTGTGATGATAATGATATAGTATTGACAACACCATCTACAGGAGGAGGTTAGTTTAACATATTAATTGAATATCACTTTTTTAGATTTTATTATCTTATTAGCTATAATAATTTCACTGTGGTTATTTATTACTTTTAATATTTTATTTTGTTCTAAGTTCAAAGTCAAAAACGTAAAAGAAAAGAACCTATAACACTTCAAGATTATGCTTTGACTATTCCAACGGGAGCCACATGCAGTATTAATGAAGATGAATGTGTATCTGTTGACGTTTATTGGCGAAGAACTGTATACTTCAGAATTATCGATGATGTGATTTCAAATTTAAATAAAAGATTTTCTGATGAAAGCCTAGAAATAGCTACACCTATTGATAATTTTTTTAATTTGAATATAAATGAAAGTTTATTCTTTATTAACAGATACAATGTATGTTGATTGTTGGTATAAATATATAATACTAATTACTAGGTATTAGGTAATTAATGTTTGGTTAATATAAATAATTATTAATATTAAATATTATGCTTTTTATGCATACTTTTATGTTTTTAGGATATTTTAGGAACTTCATATAAAAATTTAAAAGCAGAGATGATGGTGTTAAAGAATTGTCTCAGGAATAATTATTTGCTGGAAGATGTCATATGCGCATGTTATCCGGAAGTATATCCAAACTTTTACAAGTTAATGCAAGTTGCATTAACCATACCAATTTCATCAGCAACATGTGAAAGATTATTTTCCTCGATGCGGCGCATTAAGAATTGGTTACGAACCAGTATGGTACAGAGTAGATTCACTAATCTTTCATCTTTGTATATAGAAAGAGAACTAACAAATGGATTAAAAAATTAAGATATAATTAATAAGTTTGCTAAAAAATCAAGAAGATTAGATTAAATATAATTTATTTTTAATTTTTAATTCTTTTAGATAAATACATAAATTATTAATTGTTAAAATTTTAGTTAATTGATTTATTATTTTAAGGAAAGTATTTTACAGATTATATACTGGACAACTAATTCTTTTATTGAAAATTTGATTCATTACTTGATTTTTGAATTTTGTGATTTATAATTTTTAAAATTAAATCAATTATGTTTGGTATGTTAAATCGTATAGGGGGTGGTGGGGGCGAAGCCTCCCACGGGACACTTTGGACTAAACATTGTAGCACTCCCAAGTTTAAGACTGAATGTGCGCCTATGTATATAGGTACAGAATATATGAGTTAAAAATCAAGCTATATGCACCCTCTAATTCATGTAATAATCTATTGAAAATACTTTTATTGAAAACAATACATTCATTTTTTGAGGCTATTAACTTCGGATAAACCACATCCATTTTAGTTGTAGGCTACCTATAACCCGATTTTTGAAAAAAATTAAAAAAATATACTATTAAATTATTATATATATATTTAATAACACATTAGTCAACAAAAGGTCTGGGGACAGTCTATTCAGGCAGCATGTACCATAACGGGAAGCTTGTGATTGGGTTTTTACAGTGGCGTAGCTAGACACTTTTTTCTGGGTAGGTTTTGATGTAAGGATTACCAGGAATAGTTTTATAAAATAAAAAAAGTATCAGAATACCGTATGTTATACATTTTTATAGGCATATTACACGGATTTATCTTATGTTTTAAAACTAAAAGTATAAAATTAAATTAATAAAAAGATAAAGCTTTATTAAAATAGTTTTGGATTGAAAATTCCAATTTTCTTTTTTTCATTGATGCAAACTCGTCAATTACAGCAGATGGATTTTCTATGAATTGTCCACTTATTTCTCTCTCAATAGACAGCAAAGTTAAATTATTTAGTCTGCTACTTGTTATCGTTGACCTTAGATATGTTTTTACTCTTTCATCGACGACGAAACTCTTTTCTGCTGAGGCACTAGATACTGGAACTACCAAAACATTTTCAATAATTTTTGTTAACTCTTCAAATCCAACTTTGTATTTTTTTTACTTCTTGATATAATTCAAAAATATCTGAAACAGATAAAAGTAAGGTTTTTCCCAGTTGATATTGGCATTTTAATTTGGTAATAAATTTATTTGATCGATAAAATGGAAATGTTTCAGCATAACGACAAATTATTTCACTGTCTAAAAAGGTTGATGCATTTTGATCTAAAGCTTCTAAAGTTGCATACATATCATCATTTGTATTAAAACGCCGGTTCATTTCGAAATATATTACGTCTAAAATATTAAAAAATATTTTTTTTTGCTCTGTTTTCATGTCATCAGATGAATAAGCCATTCTTTTACCAGTGGTAATAGTTACATAATAATCGGCCAAAGTACTTGAATTTTGCCGTGTTCTATTTGATGACAAATTATCACTTGATGGCATAGGTATTTTAGAATTTTGAGCAATAACCAATGATTGCTCATATAGTTCAAAAAACTTCTCATCATTACGTAACTCTAATATTTGTTGCTTTGTTGCATTAATTAAAAATGTACAACGTTTTATATCAATAGTAGTTGATTGCAGGTTAATTGATAAGCAATTAATGATATTTAATATTTCGTTTAAGCACACAATTATTATGATAACTTCAAACTTAGCAAACTGTATGGCCGAACCCTTTGAATCTGCAGCTTCTTGTTTATTAATACTTTATCTAAATGCATTAAGAACCTTTAAAATATCAATAAAATGATTTTTAAAAAATGTAATACCCTTGTGTTTTGAAACCCACCTTGTTTCACAATGTTGTGGGGATATTAATGTAGGCGTAATGAAGACGACAGAATTGTTAATTAAGCAATCGATGATTTCTTCTGTTTATTGTGTAAGAAATGATGAAATTAAAATATATAAAAATGATAAGACTATAGAGTTAGTATGAGTTAGGTTAGGTTAGTATAGAGTTATATGAAATTGCATATCAAAATAGTAATTAATTACTTAATTATTTATTTATGATCACAGCTTCAAGCACAATTTGTAACCACACCGGTAATGCATTTAATATATTATTTGACTTTAAATTTAATTTATTCATGCATAACTGATAGTACGCAGTCTGATTCAAAGTGGGACGGCATTCTGTGTTTTACTCAGGTATTTAATTTATATATTTAATGTATGATAAGTATAACGTACTTTATATATGTAAACAATCCATTCATTGTAGAAGTCAGAACTTGTATCTTCATCATAGCTTTTCATCTCAATTTGTTAGTTCATGAATTATGTCATTTCACTCCATACCATATTTATACACCAATACATTTTCCAAAGCAATATTGTTATGTATATAAACCCTTATAACTGTAAATAAATAAAATTAATACACTATCAATTATCATGATATGAGTACTTACTAATTTAAGCTGTATGTGCTGGGTGTCATGTTCTTTGTGTTGACGAAATATAGCGATAAATTTCATTCCTAAAAAAAGACAGATTTGATAATTCTGAAATCAATGATTTCTACTGTTTTCTTTGTAAATTAAAATATATAGAAATTATTAGCCTATAGAGTTAAATAAAGCAAATTGCATATCAAAATTCTAATTAAATTATTTGAGTTAGTTTTTTATGGACATTTTCATTAGATCTTAATTATTTAGAAGTTAAAAACATTACTCAAGTCATAATAAGATAAATAATAGATAACGACTAATGTCTGGTACAGTATTTCTCAATAAGTTATATAAGAAAACTTCAGTAGAAAATGTAGCCGAATACCTATTAAACACGTTGAGAAAAAAACACGGTATTGTCAAATTGCTCTAGTAATATTTTTAATTTGTTCTAAAAAATAAAGTTATTTGAAGAAATTAGCACAAAAAAGTAAATCAAAGTAGGTATGTATAAATAACTTTACATAGAAAGGTTATGTAACTGTTTTAAACTGGTTTTGTAACGGTAACTTGTAACAAATGATAAGTTGAACCTAGCGGGTAACAGTAATTTTCATTACAATCATCTAACTTAGTTTAAAAACACAATTTGTAACCACACCAGTAATGCATTTAATTTATTATCCGACTTTTAATTCAATTTATTCATGCATAACTGACCTGTCCGCAGTCTTATATTTCAAGTGAGACGGCAATAAGTGTTTCGGTTTGTTTGATTTATATTTAATGTATAAAGAATAATTACTACTATGAAAAAAAAATATATGTTAATCTATCGAACGTTCAATATAGTGAAGTGTGGTCCACCGTCGAATGATGTAAAATCGTAGGTGTTGGCATCAAATAAAATAACACTCAGTTTGCTTATAAATAAGATTACCGATTTATTGTATTGAACACCAAATAATTAATGTATATAATGATAAAACTATTACTGATTTATTAAATTAAATATTGAAGAATTAATATATATAATAAAAAACTATTATTATGCTCTCATATGAACCTGTTCTGATAAAAATTATATGAGGCTCTGTAATAAACTATAAAGGATGCTCTGCTTAGTAACACGGGTGTTAATCACTCTTTTGACCAGACTCGACGGCCTCTAGCTGGCGGTGCTGTGCCCATGGCCTGTCCCGAGCCTTTCGGAATGTGCTCGCTCAGCGTCACGTAGGCGTCCGTGGGAACCAGACGGTTCTCATACACGCACCACTCGCCACTTGACTGAGTCAACCCATTCATACTTATCATGTTACCCGTTTACAACATACCCCAGCGTTAAACTGAGCAGTCCCTGCGACTCCATTTACTACTGTTACTGTTACAATTTCTTAAACTACGATTACAATCCCTTAGACTATGCTTACAATTCCTTAGACTATGATTACAATTCCTTAGACTACGATTACAATTCCTTATACTATGATTACAATTCCTTAGACTACGATTACAATTCCTTATACTATGATTACAATTCCTTAGACTACGGTTTACAATCCTTAAACTACGGGTACAACAGTTACAATACCGCCACATGGTGTCTGTAACGCTTAAACTACTTGGTTTACTCTATACTTAAGGTGATACATTTTCTTTTTTTTTTTATATAAACTTAAGGGTTGGTTTGATCCTCGCTTGAATTATTATCTGCTACTTCCGGACTATACATTTTTATGAATTTAGTTCTGAACTTAATTACCAATATCACCTATACTTAATACCGTAAAATTATGCATATATGTATGATTGCGATATGGAATTCTATCTTAAATATGAATAATGTTTCCACGGGTTTATGTTCGAGTACACTTGACTCTCCCGCTACATGTACTATGAAATTTAGGTCATTAAACAGTTTTACTATTGTGAGATTCTTAGGTAGGAACGAATTATGAATTTCTGTTAAGGGAAACACAGCAGACGTATTTTTCATGCGTTTTAGCGGTAGTAAATTACACATACTTCGGAATGTCCGATTTTAATTTTAGATTCTGAGCGGAGAGATGAATGTATTGGTTTTACAATTATGTATGTTTTTATATTTTTATTTTTATTTTTTTTTTTTGTGTCTGTCATCACGTTTTAGGACAGTAAAAGTGCTTGGATTTTCTTCATCAGTAGCTTTTCTGATAGGAAAGTGAATCTAGTTGGTACTTTGGGGGGTCAAAAGTATAAATTTCCCAGTAGTTTTCACAAGCGCCGGGAAAAACAACATAAAAATTAAGGAAAAACGGGAATTTTTACGCAAAATTGGTTTTCCAAAAAATCGATTTTGGTTATTGGTGTAACTCTAAAACAAATGAACGTATATACATGAAATTTTCACTGGTTGTTTATATTTGAATTTTATATACACGATAACATTTTCAAAATATTTTGATTTATTTTGAACTGTTTAGGGACATTTTCATTTTCCATTTTTTTTTTAGTTTTTTTTCTAAAAATATCAATAAAATTTTATTTGTTGGTTGCAAAAGCTTGAAAATTTAATAGAAGGCTCCTAATATATTGTTTCAAAGGCAGATGAAAAATATTAAAAATCCTTAGTCACAATTTTTTTTATAAGCATTTAATGTTCAAAAATTGACGAAATATGGAAAAATCACGAAAATTATCAAATTATTTTGAGTTAAGAATTCGTAAAAATTTTTCTTAGTAAATCTAAGATTTGAAAATGAAACACAAGATTCCTTATAAGATTATCTACCTTTATCGGAGGGCTATAATAATCCGGAAAGTATATGTCCGGACCGTATTTCGACGGAATCCAAAAAATATAAACCATATTTTAACGGAACGTATAATTCCGGAAAGTATATGTCCGGACCGTATAATTCCGGAAAGTATTTATCCGGACCGTATATCACCGGAATCAAAAATGTAAAAGCCGTATTATTCCGGAACGTATATGCCCGGGACGTATTCATCCGGACCGTATATATCAGGAATTAAAAACCGTATTCATCCGGACCGTATATGCCCGGAATCTAAAATTCGAAATCAGTATATTCACGGAACGTATAATTCCGGGACGTATTTACACGGACCGTATATCACCGGAATCCAAAAAATATAAACCGTATTTCTCCGGAACCGGAATGTATTGTATATTGCCTATATTTAACCCCTTGAAAAACTACGGTGAGTCGTCTTCGATTTTGTAGTTTTGTCCTTTTCCCGTTGTCAGGCAACATATTTTGCCCCCCCCCCCCCAAAAAAAAAATAGTTATTTCTTAAAATGTAAGTTATAACTTCTATTTTGTGGCATAATTGCAGTTTAGCTCCCAAGTGATTTTGAATATTTTTTAATCAAAATTTGTCGGCCGGACTTAATTTAAAAGTTATAACCTTTTGAAGTCTAGGAGTTTGCGTATTCCCACCCATCTGGGAATTTTTCTTTTTATTAAATTTATTTATTAACACTTAAGTAAAAACGATAAGTAATTTCTGATTCTACCAAAATGTGTAAGATAAAAATACGCATATATCATATATACAAAAAAAAAAAAATTCAAAAATTTCCATTATTTGGTATTTTAAACGTAACAATAAGATTTTGAAGTATTTAACCTAAACTTGAAAAAAATGTTAAAAAAAATCAGAAAAATCAATTGAAAGCTAAACTGTATTTATTTCAATATTTCATATTTTCATCAACTTTCTGCTAGATTGGAGATTTGAAAATAAAGTAATAATTTCATCAAAAATCTCCTTTACCTAATTGTTATTTCTGATTCAATTATAAATAATACCAACGCAAAAACCCTATCTTGGTTCATAATAGTTATCATTTTCAATTATTGACATTAAATATTTTTGTAATTATTAATATTATTTACTGACTAATGGATGGAAACAATATATCTACATTTTTGATCCGTAATAATTGCTTTTAACAAAAGGTTATAATAATAATTAAAACATAATACATAATATAATACATTTATATTTAATACAATTAATACACAATAATAA